ATATTGTGTGGCAAAAGTAATGGGAAAATACATTTCCTTAATGTTTAGCCAAAATTAAGTCAATAAAACTCTTTACAGACTAATGAAAAACATTAATGATTTCCTAGTATTATATTAAATGAAAAAGTTATACCATTTTATATGAATGGACGGGACTTTAGAGTGAGTGAGTGGACCCCCGCTATAAATGTGATACTATTAGTGAAATAGATGTATAAATCTATAAAATGAGTGCAATATATACTGTATGTAAGTTTCCTAATCGGAAACGAGTTAATGGAATCTAAAACTTAAGCAAAATTTGATGTTCAAAGAGGAAGTGAATAAGTGGTCGGGAGGTTCACTATACAGATCATACATACCATACAGTACTGCACAGTGTAGTCATTGTGAACAGTAATATGTTATGCTCTCATCGCTAAAGATGTTATAGTTTTTTTTGTTACTAAACAGACCTTTAAATCAATGTATTATAAGTTTCTTTTAGCGAATAATAATAGATAAAGAGTTTTATTGACTTAATTTTGGCTAAACATTAAGGAAATGTATTTTCCCATTACTTTTGCCTCATAAGTGGATTTGCGAAATGATTTTTTAATCAATTTGTAATTTATTTAATAAATTATATTTCTAATTATACAATTATTTTATATTAAATTAATATATGACGGATTACAATGTACTAGATTTTCATCATGATTATTAAATAATAAACAATAATTTTGACAACATTATTATATTATAGCCGACATCAACGCAATAGGACTACAGTATTACTAAACACTGTAATAAATAAATCTCATTAATAACTCTGCATTAAAAACACATCAAATTTAAGGCTCAAAACAATACATATTGAGTTCACCGGAAGAGGAGATGTTTTGCTATCACTGTCCGATCGGTACTCCGGTGGGCACTCATCACCACTCGAGCACAACACCCGCCGGAATGCCCACACTATCCATGTATTCAAGCGGTACTCCATGTAAGTGACTATTTTTATCACGTATTTATTGCACACAAATTATTGCACAAATCATTGCATAATATTAATGTGATTTAAAATGAAAGAAGAAATAAGTGAAATACGGAATTGTATTAAAATTCTTGTTTTTATTTTCAAGTATTTCTTAGTGTTGTTATTCTCTGTCTTTTCTTTCTATGCATATATAATGAAAAAATTTTATTTAATTTTAAAATATTCTTAAGAAATTGCATTCTCTCTCTCTCTCTCTCTCTCTCTCATTGCACAACTGAATCCCTTGAGTGACAATTGAATTGCTGTTCACAACAGACAGTAACAGACTTTGAGCTCATTTTCATTTGAGGAGCAAANAAGTAATAGAGTTATCGACTCAAGAAAATAGAGTAAAGAGAAAGTGAATTCTCTCTCTCTCTCCATATAATTCTATTTGAGTATTTGATTACAAAATTGAATCTTTGATTTAATGCACTTTCCGTCGTTTCAATTCGTATTAAATTATTCAGTGTCTCCTCTGAAGGGCTCATAAGAAGAGATGACTTTTTAAAATCTCAAAAGTTTTAGAAAGAAAAAACTCTAAAATCATTTAAAATTCTCGACTAATCCGATAGAAGAGTGAATCTTGTAGTGAAAATAGTAGTCTTATATCTAAAACATATTTATACCAACGAATTGATAGGTATATTATATAAAGTTAAATATTGTTATGCAATTGCGAGAGAGAGAGAGAGAGAGAGAGAGAGAGAGNGAGGAGAGGAGTAGAAGTTGCCATCACTTTTCAGTTTGTTCAGAGCACCGGTTCTATGCATTGTGTGTATGTGAGTGAGTAAGTGAAAAAGAAAGAGAGAGAGAGAGAGAGAGAGAGGTTATTGTATACCCAAAAATTGGATTCAACTTCATTGCCATAACTTTGTTTAACTCAAAAGTGAATCAATGCTTTATAAAATAAGGTCACAGTTTTTTCTCTCTCCATACGTACGCAATGCTCACACAAAATAAAATCAAACTCAATATTCACTGTATATTATTGAGTGTGTGTAACAGTACTGTATATACCGTATCCCATATCCATCAGCTCTGAATATATAATAGGATTTGTGTTTCGCAACCAATACTTATTTATAGGAAAGACAATAGTATGTGCTCTCCATATATTGTACTGTATATTCAATAATCTATAAAGCAGTGATTGGTTTCAAATTTTATATTATTTTTGGATATGCAAGTTTTATAAATTTTTTAATTTGTTCAAATAAATAACATTATGAATGCGTTGATTTGAATCTATACCATTTAATTATGTATGTTAAATAACACTAAAAATGTATTTAAATATTAAGTCTATTGTCAATTTTGTATATAATATTTTTATAATTATAGTAATTTTCATTTATTGTAATACCGGTAATAAATATGAGCGTTTGAAATAACTTACATTAATGTCTAGTTTTAAAGATATTAAATAATATTTAATCATTTGAGCAATATTTTGGATTATTAACACTTTCCGATTAAGTATTTGGTAGATTTCTATGTTATTTATTATGTTATTAATGATTTAAATTAAATATAATTTTAATACAATAATTATTATTGATTTTAATAAATATTTAAATTTATCATTATTGAATTTATTGTGGAATTTTATTTTAAATCAAATCACTACAAGTTATGTTAAAAATTAAGTTACAAAATAAATCTCAATTAAATTAAATAAACCAAAATAGTGATTTTGTAAAAATATTACATGAATGTAATTATGGATAATATAAAATTCTCGTGTTTTTATACTTTAAACCATTAAAACAATTGTGAATTGAATTAATTAAAGTCTAGAAAAAGGTAGAGAAAAAATCATACATTTTTTGCACCAATTCTTGAACGCAAAACATATATCGATATAAAAGACTGAAATATCTCTCAAATGGAAAGAATAGCAATAATTAAATTTAAAATATATTGTGTTTCTTTGCTATCTCTCTCTCTCTCTCTCTCTCTCTCTCTCTTTCTTTCTTTCTCTCTCCTTCTGTTCAACTTCTCAAACGCTTTCTTTCAATTGAAGCCATAATTAGATTTATTTACACTTTTATGCAATTTATTGTTTCCAATGCTTCAAATCAATCCATCCATAAATACATACGGACTGGTCGTACATGTGTTTGTGTGGACCGCATATAACCCACACATAGACACGACATATGCCGCCTATCAGAGCGATATACACGACGACGCGTTCGTTCGCCGCAAACAACGCCGAAATCGGACCACTTTTACGGTCCAACAGTTGGAGGAGTTGGAGAAGGCCTTCGCACAGACACACTATCCCGATGTCTTCACCCGTGAAGGTCTGTCCCTCACATCCACACCATTTGCAATGCATTCATACTTTATTTATTATTACAATTCAGTTTTTTAAATTGTATAAAATTTTTTTAAATTTTGAATAAAATATTTATATGTTTACAGATCTGGCGATGAAAATCAATTTAACCGAAGCCCGCGTTCAGGTCTGGTTTCAGGTACGCAAATATTCATTAAATTTGTTAAATTTTGTACATTTACTGTATATTTTGTTATCTTATGTACTTTTTTGCAATTAATTAATTGTATTTACATTTTAGTGGCTCTTATTTAAATCAATATGACTTTTATTAGATCTCTAACTAAATTGAATCAAAAGTACAGCCAAAATATGTTTTGATACTTTCATTAGTATAGAAACTCCATATTAAATGTAATAATATTTAAAAGCAAATTAAATCAAAACTTATGGAAAATAACGCCTATATTACACATAATAGGCTTATAATCTCTGCTCATTTGTTGACCATATATTTCATATCTAATTATCAGTTAATTATATTTTTCTTAACATTCATTACAATTCACGTCAAGAATTAAAGCGAAAACTCCAGAAATAACTGTTAGAAAACAGTTATTTAATTTATGAAAATTAAATTAAATTCAAAAATTTCTACTTTCCATCACTTCCTATGTGTTTGACAACAAAATTTCAAAACACTGTATATATTGTGTGGCAATAATTTCGTTCACTTTAATTACATTTAAGTCCTGTTTTTTAAGTCAAACCATTTCTTGACGACAATCCCAGTGCCAGCGCTTAATGAGAAAGCCTTATAATTGAATGACTGGAATAACTGTCACTGAAAATGATTGCATTTTCCTCTCTCTTTACTATTAACTCATTTATTCAATAAAATTCACTAATTTATTGAATTAGCGAATCAAAAATTGGGACTAATTTTATAGATATAAGGTTTACATTATTACTACACAGTATATGTTGGCACTAATCAACGGGATTTCATTATTAACATGTTTGAAACTCGCAAAACATTTTATGTTTCAATTTAAAATAATTAGTATAAACTTTTAATTTAGTTATTTAATCGATAGTAAATAATTTGTAATCGTTAAAACTCAAGGCAACGCATAATAATTATGTAGTAATTTAAATGAATACTTTAATTACCATGTTATTAGTGTAAATTATAATAATAATTAGATAACACTAGTGATTGGTAACAGAATATTCTTACATATAAACTGAATTGTTGTATATAACGGGTGTTTTGGGTGACCCGAACAGAACCGAAGGGCCAAATGGAGAAAAGCCGAGCGTTTGCGCAAAGAAAGAGAGGACAAGACTAACCCCAAGTCGACGGACAGCTCCTCATTAAGCAATATAAACGTGGAAACGGCCGGACATAACGATCTGATGATTAGCCCGGGTTCGTCGCCGGAGCCCAAAATGAACGGCCGTCTGAGCTGTAACTCGTCGGTCGGCTCGCCATCCAATGACGGCCCACTTCTGGCCAAACCGAAGCTGACTGACCGCCAGACGCCCGAGAGTCAGCTCAATATGCAAATCGTGCAAAAGTCGCTCAACAATTGTCACCCGTTGTTCAATCCGGCGCTCATCGGACACCAGTCGTCGTCATCGTCGGTCTCAACCATCGCTAACCATCGGCCGTCGATTGCCGATATGAACGGCTCTCTCATCGCCACCACTACCGCCGCGTCTGCGCTGTCTTCGCTACGATCGCCGCCGCTGTCTGTGGCCTCACTTCACGGCCAATCGTCGGCGTCAGCGTTCATGGAGTCGGCGTCCTTTTTGAAAGAGCTGACCGCCAATCATCCGTTCGGGCCGTCATTCCCGCTCCGCAACTCCTTTTTATCCGCTTTCACCGCATCCGACAGGTATTGGGCGACACTTTTTATGCAAAAAAAATACATTTTTACCAAAATGTGATCGTTTAGTAGTATTGATACGATTTGTTATGCGTTATGTTATAGTGTACTGAACGCGGCGGCGGCCGCAGCCAACTCGTCGGCCGCCCGTTTCTCATCATTGCAGCCACTATTTGTCCCTGCTCATATGGGCGCACATATGGCCCACCAGTTCGCCAGCGCCGCCTCCAACGCCGCCTCCTTTCCATTCAAAGGTTATTTACGTTAGAGAACACCCGTTATATCCCAAACCCCCTCCACAACAGCTACTTTACCCTTTAGTCTCAAAATAACTGTCATTACGAGTAATGAAAGGCTGTTTGGTTTGATAGCTCTGTGCCCGTGTTGTCTGCCAAACAGTCGGCCCGTCTCTCCCCCGACGGCCCCACCGACGTCGTCGTCGACCGCCACCACTACCTCCGGTTCGATCGCATCCATCGCTAACCATTTGTTGAGCACATCTTCGCCGTCGACCACATCCAGTGTCCAAGAGTTGCGCCGCAAAGCCAAAGAGCACAGCGAGTCTATGTTGGCTCAGGTCTGTCCTCTCGGCGTCGTCTCCGGTGCCGTCACCGCCACTACCACTCCATTCAAGCCCTCAATCATCTCATAATATCGATGAGTAAACAGACATTTACTACTTCTTCGCCTCATATGCTTCCGCTGTCTTTTATGTCCGACTATTTTATAATTAACTCTTGTTTTTATTTATTTAATTTTTGTTGTAATAATTGATAAAATAATGTTATATTAGATGACAATTGCTGTGAAAAATAATATGAAATTCAATGTTTGCCAATAAATTGTATAATATTTAATTAATTCACGACAAAAATGATCGCTATTTTAAAGTATTATTTTACTTTATTTAAATTACTTTATTTGAATGAATACTTTATTTGATTATTGAAAATGTGTGTCAATTATAGTTCACTTCGTTTTTCCTCTTCTTCTTCCCTTTGAGATGAGTTTTTATATAAAATTAGTCTTTCTTTTTGACTACAATTCTTGTTCACAAATATAACGACAAAAAGTGTTTCATATAATGAAAGGGAAGAGAAATACTTTCGCTAAGAATTTAGTTGTTATCTATAATAGTGTTAAATGAAAATAAAAATTGGGTTCACTATTAAGTTATTGCCAGAGATTAAAGAGATAATTGGTTTTTAAGTAAATTATTTTGAAAGTAGATTTGAAATCAGAGAATATAATTCTCGGATAAGAGAGAGAGAGAGAGAGAGAGAGAGAGAGAGAGA